ATTGCAGGAATTGGGCATGTCTAGTCTGATGAAAAGGATTGAGGATGACATACTAGCAGTGCTCCAATATTTGAGGGGCTGCCACAAAGAAGAGGGAATCAACCTATTCTCCAAAGCATCTGATGGTAACTAATCAAGCAACCTGGAATTAAGGAGAAATTTCTTGACAGTGAGAACAATTAATCAATGAAACAGCTTGCCTTCAGAAGTTATAGGTGCTCCATCACTGGAGGTTTTTAAGAAGAGATTGGAAAACCATTTGTCTGAAATAATATAGGTTCTCCTGCTTGAGCAAGGGGTTGGACTAGAAGACCTTCAATGTCCCTTCCAACTCTGATGATGATGGTGGTGGTGGTGGTGTCAGAATTCACTGAGAGATCAGGCAAGGTGGGGGTAGTGTCACAAGTGTCATCAATGTAATCAGCATACTATATCTTGGTCTAAAATCCAAATAATCCACTTTCTCCAAGGCCCTCTGAAGCTCTAGCTTGTTCACCTTTTCAACACCTGGAGTCCAACTCAAAGCAAATGCAGGAAAGTTCTTAAATAGTCCTCACAGTAACCCTACAGAATATTAATTTGAACAATATTCAGCAAAAGATGGCCAAGATGTCAACAAAACTTTTTCCCCATTGGATATATAAGCATAAAATACAATGAAACCAATAAAATGTAATCGAAAAAGATATTGAATGGCAGAAGGATGCAACTTAAAATATCTAGGCTGATAAAAAAAACCTGTGCTTTGACTCTGGGAAGATAGAAATATTGATATCAGTCAGACATCTATGGGGAATAGATTTCATTAAAAAGTAATCATAACAGACAGTTTGGCTTGAGTTTATTATGAAAAACAGCAGTTCATAGTTTCCTGGTGGAGAAAACAAGGCAAATAGTGAGGAGCTCAATTGAGTTTGCATTTCAAGAGCTACTGGAGATGCATAATCATTAAGTCACACCGTGGTGCTTCAGTTATAACAGAATAGTGGAGTTGGAAGGGACCGTGAAGATCTTCTAGTCCAATCCCCTGCTCAAGCAGGACACCCTATACTCTTCTAGACAAATGACTGTCCAATCTCTTCTTAAAAGCTTCCAATGATAGAGCCTCCACAACTTCTGAAGGCAACCCTTCCACTGATTTACTGTTCTAACTTTCAGGAAATTTCTCCTTCGTTCCAGGTTACTTCTCTCCTTGATTAGTTTCCATCCGTTGCTTCTTGTCCTTCTTTGGAGAATAGGTGGACCCCCTCTTCTTTGTGGACCCCCTCTCAAATATTGGAAAATAGATAAAAATATGGATAGTGAGAAATTATCTAAAATTGCAAAGGTTGAAAGATTCCTAGCTAAAGGACTCCCTTGTCCCCTCATAAAAGATCGTTTTGGAGGCCCAACCTGGGATCTCCGTGTCACCACCTGAGTTTGTATGCATAAATGGAATTGGACCATCTCCATTGTGATCATCGTGGAAGACATATTTGGCTTTTTTCTTTACCTGTAAACAGAACATCAGGCTTTTTTTTTTTAGACCACTAGGTGCCTTGGTTTTAAAAAGTCACCAATATTTTTTCAAACATAATTGAAACTGTTGGGAGAGTGGGAAGGAGAAATTTGGAGGCCATTTTGAAAATGGAATGCTCTTATTTATTTTTCCTTTCATCTTCAACTCATTCCGTATCAGGTAGGCAGGACAAAAGGCCACCGGAGAAAGAAGAGGTGGGTAGAAGCTTTGATTCTGCAAAATAAAACCTTGTTCAACCATCAGTGTGCGTTGGTGTCATCCTGTGTGTCCAGTTGCTGAAATGAGTTCTTTCTAAGATCTTTTTCTCACAAGCCAAGATCACTTTGTCATGGAAAAGGGTTTGCTGGATTGTATTTTTATTTCTGCCTTCCAGCGCTGACTCCTGTTTCCTTCTTCCCCAACACCTCCCAACCAAGTCCTTGAGCTCTTGAGTGAAAGTATTGCAAGTAATTAAGCAGACTGCTCTCTCTGAATAGTAAATGAGAAATTAAGCAAAAAAATGTTCAACTGCCAGTGCTCCAGAATTCCGAGCAGATCACCTCAATTTGGTGATGTTATGAGAATACATTTCTTGAACTGCATCACTAGCTAAATTGATTGAATTAAACATGCTT